CCTCTGGAAAAATCAAAGAGAAAATGGTTCAAAAATTGGCAAATTGGAAAAAAAACATTCCCTATCAATTGCGGGTAGATTAACCCTCATAAATTCTTCAACTAACATGATGCCACAATATATAATGAGTTCTTTTAGAATCCCAAAAAATTCTATAGACGAATTGGACAAGATTCAAAGGGATTTTCTATGGGACAATTCAAATGGGAAGAAATCTCTTCATTTGCTGAATTGGGAAAAAGCATGCACCCCTAAAAGGTGGGGTGGCATGGGAATAAGAAAGCTCCACTGGGTTAATGAGGCCAGCCCAACAAAGTTAGGTTGGAGGATCATAAATGAGGACAACCTATGGGTGAAAGTTATCAAAAGCAAATATTTGAGGAAGGAAATGGTATCTTTTGGGCTTGGAGGGGTATTCTCCTGGCCAGATATCTCATTAAGAAAGGCACTCGTTGGCAAGTAGGAAATGGTAGGTCTATTAGCTTTTGGCATGATAATTGGGTTTATGACAGACCTCTATCTGAAACCATTAACCGTGAGGTTATGACAAACCATAACATTAAAGTCTCGGACATGATTGATTTTGGAAGAGAATGTTGGAATGAAGACAAAATAAAGGCGGAGGTATCTGACCAAATTTGGCAAGATATTAAAACAATTTTTATTGATCCTAACTCTATGGAGGAGAAAATTATTAGGGGGTGCAACCCTAAGGGGATTTTCTCTATAAAGATAGCTTATTTGTTGAAGTACTCTTCTATTCTTAACCCAAACAGTACCTTTAATTGGCTTGCTAATATTTGGAACATCAAATGCCGCCAAAGATAAAGACTTTTCTCTTTTTCCTTCTCAACAATAGGCTTCCTACTAAAAGCCATCTATGGAAAAGTGGATATAACATTGATGGCTCTTGTAGCTTTTTGTGGGGATGAGGAGGATACTGATCATATTTTTAAAAATTGTGCCCACACAAAGCAAATGTGGCTTACCTTAAACACTCCCCTGGAAGGACCAAATGAGAATGAAAATTTAAGTGATTGGTGGACAAGGGTCGGCAATAAAAAGGAAAACAAGATTCTTTTAGTAAAGGAAAAACTAGCTTTTGTTCTTTGGGCTGTCTGGAAAAATAGGAACTAGAAAACTTTCAATAATGTTTCAACTCCCATTCCAATTATTTTGGAACGAGCTCTTGATATGTTTTCGGAGTTTCTTGATGGGAGCAAAGATAAAGACATTGCCCGAATGGACAGTGTGGAAACCAATTTTTTCGAGTGCTCCAAAATTTGGCACTATTAAAATAAATTTTGATGCCTCTTGTAACAGTGATGGAAAATGTTTTGTGGCTAGTATTGTTCGTGACCATCTTGGTCGGGTGCTAGCGGTTAAAGCATATAAACTTGACACTTGTACCATCAACCAAGCGGAAGCATGGGCTGCTTGGGAAGCACATATTCAAGTGACAAACTATAGGGAGCATCCTATTATAATTGAGGGTGATTCATTATTGGTCATCTCGTGCCTCAACAAAAAGGTGGAAGTTCCTTGGAATTTGAAAGGTATCATCTCTTGCTGCTTGAGGAGGAGAGTTTTGTTCGAGGGAGGTCTTCGGTACCAGCATATTTTCAGAGAAGCTAACCAGGCAGCGGATAGGCTTGCTCATGAAGCTCTTTCTTCTTCTACCCCTTCCTTAGATTTTTGTATCAACTCCCTTCCCCCTTCCCTTCTTCTTATTTGTTTTGCAGATTTTTGGGGACGTACTACCCCCCGTTGTGTGTAGTACACTTCTTCGCTTTTCAAAAAAAAAAAAAAAATCAACAAGAGTTGAATGAGTGTATTCTAAATAGGGTTATTTGGTGGTTGAAATCCTGGACTTATTCCAGTAATTCCCTTCAATGATATATGGAGGAATTGGTCATAGTGGCAAGTTGCTCCTCTATTAAAGGTGAGGATGAGTATAAGCTGGGCACTCCCTCTTGAAGGTTTCGTTTCATGAAGCTGAATTTTGATGGAAGTAGTCAACATAATCCAGGCCCCTTTGGGATGGGAGGGGTTCTAAGGAATGAGACTGGTAATGTGGTTCTCTTTTACTCGGGACCTCTAGGAGTTGGGAACTCTACTAGGGCGGAATTACTAGCCTGCCCTTCAAGGTGTACAGTTTACAGTTCAGTTAGGTGTGGAACAAGTATAAAAGATTTTATAAAAGAAGGGGAATAAAATTTAAAATACAGAATCTTGTGAATCCTAGTCTGGAATGTCCTCCGTCTTCTGGAGGGGCTGGTAAGATGATTACTTCGGTGGCTGTGGCCTCAATGGGAGAAGTAAAAAAAGACTGACTGTTCAGGGACTACATGCAGGGATAGAACTGATGTAGATGAGGCCTCTGGTAAAATGTTGCCGGAGCAAAAGGAAATGAAGAAAGGAAGTGTGGACTTGAAGACTCTAGTTGATAGGCAGGTGGAAGTCGGCAAGGCTTTGGGCCTGTTTTTCCTAGGAGGAGAAAGCTTTGCCAGGAGAGCTTTTGAGCAGCTCAAAAGAAAGAGAAAGGAGGAGAATATGAGAAAGGTTCTGAAGCCTTAGGGGGAGAAATTTGGGATGAGGGTGATGTAGAAGAATTTGGTGGGGTGGAAGATCAATCTATGCCTAATAGTATTTGTTGTGTGATGATGCAGTGGTTGTGCATTTGTGGCTTCTCTTTCTGTTTTTTATTCTGTTGTGTTGATGTAGGAGAGTAATAGGAGATGTTGGGCTTGGGGGTGTTGTCTTAACACCTGCCTTTAGGATTGTATCAAGTTTTTCTTTTTAATAAATTTTTATTGTTACTTATCAAAAAAAAATTGAAGGTGACTCCAAGGTGGTAGTGGGTTGGCTACAGAATCCAGAGTCTGTAGTGTGGTATTTTAAGAATGAAGTTAAAAAATTCAAGTGGCTAACAAGGAATTTGTTTGTATTGTCTAGCCAAGCAAGGGGCAAATAGGGAACAGTTCTTTTTGGGCTCATTTGCAGCTTGATTCTGTTATGTTTTTTTTTTTTTTTTGGGTATAGAGTTTGTCTCCCCTCCCCTCCATGTACTTGATTAATTTTTCTTTCTTAATGAAATCTGATCATTTAT